CACTTAAAGTTGACTAAAAGATTTGGCCTTTGCTAAGTGTTGAGCTTGGTCTGGAATTAAGATAACTATTCACATTGATACTATAAAATCCCTGCATGATTCTATTGGAATGTTGTTATACATTTCTACTCTGCTGCATGAGCCTCATACAGAGACACACGCTTACTGTCAGGGAGGTGGTCTTGTAGTTGCCGAGAGTTTCTGAGCAATACTTTTGAGTATGTATGGCCATCCATAAAAGTACATTGTCTCGTAGGGCCTAGGGGTGTTAGGCTCTATCTTTTGAAGTAAACTGCTATTCATACCATGTTGTGGGTCTTGGTGTGTACATGATTAGTGATGATGCCTTAGGTTATGCAAAGTGACTTTACTGTATGGTAATTGTTGGGTATTTTTCATGTGTCTAACATATACTATCCTTGTGGTTGTAGGAAAATATTAGACGTTGTGTCTGCATAATTTATGATCCATCAAGATCTAACCAAGGTGTCCTAGCTCTAAAGGCACTGAAGCTTTCTGATTCATTCATGGAACTTTATCGAAGTAATAACTTCACAGGAGAGAAGTATGGGTTTGCACTGTTATTTCTCTTGATTATTTTGGTGAATGAAATCTTTATCTATTCATATATGGTTGTGGTAATGGCTTGCCTTTTCAGGTTAAGGGAGAAGAATCTTTCTTGGGTTGATATCTTTGAAGAGATCCCTGTAAGATCTTAATTATCTCCCTCTGATTAATTGATTCAATTATGAAGCATATGTCTTAAATTCAATTATTGAGCTACATTTTTCCTGATGAATTTCCTTAGAGTGATAGTGTATTAAACTCTGAACTGGACTTTAATGGGTTTCATAAGCTACATAGAAGCACACTCACTTTGTTACTCGGATATTCAAATTGCTATTGACATCAATCTTCTATTTATTGAGACGCACCTATTTAACAAATCAAAGGGAGGAATTTATATACAGATCCTATATAAACGTAAATTCATTATGTCGAAGTGGTATCAGGTTTATATTCTAAGGGTCACCAATCAATATCTTTTAATTGCAGTAATTTGTTGATGGATTGGCTAGGTGTTGCTTGGATACAAGATATCCAAAATATCCAAACATTTTTAACTTAACTTTACTCGACTCCACCATCTTCAACATTATCAACATAATTAAATAATACCAATCAATCATTCTTACACATCACTCCAACTTAATTCACTCTACTCACATAATTTTAACTAACCATAACTAACCATCACTTCATATCATCTCTTTGTTACTTTTACTTCAAATCAATTTTAATTACTTTATTTTAAATATAATTTTAATTAGTATACCAACTAACAACTAACCTTACCACATTTTTCAAAAATTAGCCAAACCAAACCAAAAAATCCAAACAAAACCAAAAAATCTTGTATCCAAGCATCCCTATATTGACTGAACTTGCTTGTTTTTCTCCTTTTTATTCTTTTTTTTGGGTGAGAATCAATAATTTCTTTTTACAAGAACTAAACAGATGGCTGAATGAAAATATTAAGCAGTCATTTTTTTTGTACAGATTAAGGTTTCAAATTCTGCTCTTGTCAATGCTTTTATGACTGAGCTTGAGGCAGATACTCCTGTCACACAGGTAACTAGATTCTGTTTATTGGGTTCCTTTTATTTTATTGATGTTAATAGATTTAGTAACCTTGGCATGCTATTACGTGGCAGTGTGATTCTGAAAGGTTGCAATTGTCAACCAGCCCATTTTTAGAGAGAAATGTGGAGTTTCTGATTGAGTGCATGGATGACTTGTCAATGGAACAACAAAAGGTTAGCATTTCCTTTTGCTTACACATACACTACCCTGTTGGACAAACAGCATAGTAAAACCTTCTGTTTTCCAGTTTCAATTCTACTACAGGAATCTTTCTCGTCATCAAGCCGCACAGCAGGCCTGGCTTCAGAAAAGAAGGTAACTGTCCGCCCCAAATTCATGGTTCTCTTGAAATTATCAGTTAGGGTGTGCTGCTTTTCATGTTGTATTTGAGGTGCCCTTTTTTCTCTTTATTGAGGGGGTTTATGAAGCTTAGCATTTTTTAATAGTAGTAACTTATCTCGGTTCCTGGAATAAGCCAAGTGTTCTTTATTAAATTATGAAATTTGTTCTAGTACAGGTCGATTTTCATACATGAATCATTCATGCCAATGCAAGCTGCTTGTCCTAAACTTGCATTACTATTGGTTCATACTTATGATTTGGCTGGTTATGTGTAGGGCTGACAACTTGGCTAGGAAAAATGCCGGGGAAGAACCATTACCTGAGCAGGATCCTTCAAACCCAATCTTCAAACCTCTTCCTGAACCATCAAGATTGGAGAGTTTTCTGATAACAAATCAGATCGCCAACTACTGCAACCAAATTAATGGGTATGTTCACAAGTTATAAAAAATTAGGTTCTAAAATTTCTACAATTTCTTTCTGCTTAATGATTTGTGTGCAAGTACTATTTTGTTTTTAGTGGTCAAATTACTTCTCGATATACGTTGCAAATTTATTTTTAGATAAACAACCTACAAATCATAAGCTGCAGGAATGTTGCGCTTTCTGTGTAGTTAGGGTGGTTATATTTCCCAACATTCATTTGCATTCGTTTCTTCAAAATATTTTACATCTTTTAGAATGTGTCCCAATTGTGTTTCAAGCAGACTTTAATTATTTACTTAGGGGATGGAAATAGTGCACTGATCTGTAGTAGAACCCATGTTTGATTTGTTTCCCAACTTTGCTTGTGGAATATATTGGTAAAACTTGAGATAAAGAGGACATTTGGCATCTCTGCTCGGGTTCTGCAATGATGTAGTGAAAGTGATCTGTTATAAGCTGGGTAACATATGTTAATGATTACTCCCAATTTAGAATTGATACCTTGTATTATCTAATGCTTTGCTGTTGCTTATGTGATGTATACAAGTTTCTCTTTCAGAATATAATGCATAATAATATTTAGGTGTCTGGTCAAAGCTTAATGTGTTTTTTATATATTTAAGTTGTCACTTCTTGGTCATTGTTAAAACTTTTGAACCAGAGTTTATAGACTCCTAAAATCTAATTGTATGGTTTTGTAAGAAAGATCATCTAGGAAAAGTGGGCCTGGTGATGTTAGATTTGACTAAGAATTTTATTCAATACGGATGGCTTTTTCAGCAATCTATCTTTATCGTACTGTACGAGCTTATTACTTGTCATACAAAGATAATTATTAAAAGCATTAACCTCTGCTAAATTAGCTTACCTTTAATTTTGTGGTAAACTGATTTTTGTTTTATGGCATGTCTTGTAGAGTTGCTGGACAAAGCTTTAGCAGACTGTACCTCATGAAAGCCCTTAACGAAAACTAGATAAAAGGGGTTTACCATAAGACGATTTGATATAATTTGCTGATGTCTTATTGTATGCATGCAACTTGGTGAATGTGACTTTTTGGGTGTCGTTGAGTCTGTTTTTTGTTCTATTTACCAGATTTTTGTTATCAGTGACAAACCCATTATCTGTAATGCGCAATAGGTTTTAAATGTTGGTGTAAGAATCATGTTATTCTTAATTATGATTGCTGGAATGATCTTTTTGACCCATTTCATTTCTGCCCGTATTTGATAATTTGCGCAATAAACATGAATTAGATTTAGTGTTTCGTGTGATATGGCCCCATTTTTTTTTGTATATATGTACTCATTGGGTTAATTGCCAAGGAAAAAATTGACAGTTGGTATGCCACATTTAGTGAGTTTATGTGTTAATGTCGGTCTATTTTGTGCTGAAA